AGCTGATAGAGGAATCCTAACTTTGTGTAGATTCAAACTTGAGTCAGACAGCAGTAGGACGGCTCCCCTCAGCAACAGGCAGCAGTTCAATATTCAAGCCAGAAAACAAGCCTTCACAGTAACACGTCCAATTACTTATACTGCAGGTATATGTAAGACTCCATTCAAACAGAAGTGTTTTTCATTCAATGTCTAGTCAAAATTTTCCTTATTGATGTTGACAGTTTATTTTTACTATACAAATGCAGTTGCCATAGTGTTTCATGTTATGTGTGAAAACAATACAAGTTCACTTTTGTAAGAATCATATATGTCGGATGATTATGTTTGTTCTGTTTCTTTTGTGTCTTGGATTCTGTGCTCGTGATCGACCTGTAAATCAAGCAAAAGTTTAAAACAAAGCATAACACATTAACACAGGGTGTCAAGTGACATTAATGTGTGCGACTCCAGTGATTACATGTTGTGGGACAGTTTGCTGCTTTAAAGATCCATTCTGTAGTATTACCTTGAAAGTGATAGCAGTTTTTATTTCTGTACTTCATATAGGATGTTTATGAATATTACAAGCAGAGTTAGTACTATGACGCAGATTTACTGACAGTAGTTGATTTTATTCTGGTTTTATTTGCATTTCTAATGTGGAATTGTGTAATGTTGTCTGTATGTTTTATAATCAAAAAAAGAAGAAGCTCAAAAGCCAAAAGAAAATAACATGCTACCCATGAGGCCGATAGCAAGGAGAGATCAAAGACATAAACAGACAGTCAAACTGACTGACTGACTGATTGATTGAAAGAAAAGCCTGCCAGACAGACTGAGACTGACAGGCACGCTGAGTCAGTGTCTGAGAATGAGAGGCAGAGGTGGAATGAGCAAGCAAGGGAGGCAGAGAGAGAGAAAGAGAGGGAGAGAAATGAAACATTAGAAAACATAAAGTTGAAAATGACTGTGTTAATTTACCTCTGATAACTGGTTCAGTGCCAGACCACACACACGGACGATCAGATATAGATGTCTGCACACACACACATACACACACTGCATACCTGGATGGGTGGGCTCGATTGCTCGAGGCTACAGTTGTAGTTGTAATTCGTCTCCATCGCAACAGCAATGACTCATGGCTGACAATCAAAATACTGGAACAATTCTTCAAAGCTAATTAAAGTCTAATAATCTTTTTATTCTGTAGTAACCATAAATTGGTAAATATGCAACTATTGAATTACATTAAATGCATTGCACATCCAATAACCAAATCAGGTGGTGATATAATTGTTTTTTAATATTTAGTATGTTGTTGGGTGAATTACTCACAGATTCTGCAGATATACCAAACATTTCTGTAGCTAAATTAACTCATCATCATCCAAGGTGGGTAGTCAGTTTTAACCTGTAATTTCTAACTATTATATCCTTCCTAACTTGTAATTGGGAGAATATGACTCATGACTTAATTGGTGAGGAGCAGGAAAATGTTATAAGGAGAGAGAGAAAAATCCTCCATGCATGCTATTTCCCCACTTTACAGTAATGAACCCACGTGATCACTCTTCAGTCAGATCCCGAAGACATAAGGAAAAGAAACTCTTAGTAAGCATTTGTAAGCACTTTAATTACCATAATAGGTCTATTTCAGAGAAAATAGCCTTAATGATATAAAATTGTCATCCTGTTCAGTCAATAGACACTAACATTTTAGATATGGCAAGACATTTGTTCATGTAATTTACTGTTTAACATTCATTACATTTTTACATTTACTGTAAGTGCTTCAGAACCTCTTTTGGTAACACATTCACGCTTCCAGCCAAATATGAAACTTTTTTTATCCTCACTGATGAGCGTCTCTGTTTTTCTAAAACATGGTCGTGTCGTTTTTGCTTGTACCTGCAGAGGGCAGTGCAGGCCTACAATTGTAAAAAAGTAACAAACTGTTACGTTGTCTCCCTCTGTGTGTCAATAGTGGTAAATCGTGACACTTCAACACGGATTCTCAAAATTTAACGCAATAAACCGAATTGTCTTTGTTCCAGGGAGCAAAAAGGTGTCACCAGCACATTATTTTCTACATTATTATTTTATCAGAATATATAAATTATTTTTAAGGAAGAATAGAACAGCCCTTAATTGTCATTGTTCATGTACAATGAAATTATGGGTACTCCATGAAAACTGTGCAGAAGTAAAATTTAAAAAATAGTAAAGACAGAAGAAATATACACAGTCAAGAGGTAAGAGTGAAAGGCATATACAAGGTTTTACACAACATGCCCCAGTTCCAGGTGATGATGTCAGGAAAGACCTTGCAAACCTGTTACTACATCTATTACACTATTTATGCTTCAAGTTTTAAGAAGTCTCAGGCTTGAGCAGTGAGAATCTTATACTAGACAAAAATGGGACCAGACCCTGGTCTCTCCTCAGTTCCCAGATGTTTATGGACTGTTGTTAAAAGTAGAAGGGATGTAATGGTAAACATCGCTGTTCAACTGTTTTCAGACTTGTTGGTGCCATCAAATTCAAAATTATCCTATTATTAGTATTATTTTTAACATTAAACCTCAGTTCAAGCATTTCATGTGCTTTCTGTGTTTTATGGTAAATTAAAAATGGGGTTATGAAATTTGCAAGTCATTGCATTCTGTTTTATTTTTATTTATTTATTTATTTTTCATTTTACACAGCATCCCATTGTTTTTGGAGTTGGAGTTGTAGATTGGCAAAAGTTTTTAATGTATTTATAATTTTTCAAATTAGTGACGGGCCACTCGAATACCCTGGTCTGGAGTACAAACTGTTACAGTTACATTTACATCAAGTGTGCAGTTTTATATATATATATATATATTTTAGTCTCATCCAGCTGCACACTTTGTAAATACTTCCTCCAGAGGAAATGTCTAATGGGATCACAGAGCGTGATGATAAATATGTGACCTTTTGAATAGCAGATGTTGTCCAAGGCCCAGACTCACAAAGCTCTACTACTACACTTACAATCACAAAACAATTCCCTTTACAGTAGATGAATGTGGCAGAGAGGGTATGCTTAGTCAAAGAAACTTACAGTGTAAATATGAAGACATTTATTCATATGCATCCTTTATTAATTGTAAAAATCAATATGTTCTTTACGAGCATAAGGCATAGAGTCCAGTGAAGATCATAGACACAGGCTGCTGACTAAGGAGTAATGATACATAATAAGCTTGAGGGGACACAGACTACAACCTAATTACCAGGTCCTAAAGACCTTTGCTGAAACGAAAAACCTCAGTATATTTCCCTGTCTATAATGCCTGACTGTCTCCCCCCAAATCAGCCAACTAGAAACGTTCCCAGACGTATAATTCTGTCCAAACTCCACCCAGGAGGAGTTTAAATTTAAGCAACCGAGAGCCTGGACAAGTATGCAAGAAAAAAAACAATTAAATACAACTAGAAACATAAGTGTAATATTAAGATCAAGGATTCAATACTTTTTTGTCATGTCATCGTTAGGAATTTGCCTCAGTGGGCCCATGTCTGACAACAATCACAGCGAAACACCTAATTATATCTGATATATGAGGGGATTTGTTAAGAAAACTACAATTAGTTCTCTGTGTGCACAGTACACAAACCTCTGTGTCAGATGACATCCTGATGTGAACCATGTGTTGACAGGGACAACATCGAAGTGATTGTGCTTCTGCTGATTTTAGGCGGCATCGTACATCGCACAAAGACACAATTACATACCAGTGCAAGTGGCTTTTACTGTAAATAGCAGTATCACGTTCCTGAGTTTCACTATCACTATCAATCTACTGTTACCTTTCTGTTAAAGTTTGGAGAGGGTTAATGTCTCCTTAGGTGCTGATGGTACAGACTTATTATTTTAACTGTGAGTTGAGTCAAAATGTACTGGAAATGGCCTAGACTGTCATTCTAAACACAGTACAGCCAAGTTTTTTTGGAAAAAAAAGTTTTTTCATTGAAAGCAGCACTACTCAGCTCGCCATGTCGTAAATTTCAAAGTTGAGAAACAAAGTTTTAAATCATCGAAGCATCTTCAAACCTACAAAGATATTTCATCCATTCTGTTTCTGATTTATATTTTGCAATACTGTGCCTCTGCATATAGGATTTCCTTGGTAAGGGCGTAAATTAGGAATTGTGTCTTTTTGCAGTGGGTATGTTTAAAGTCTGAGCCAAGATGCCGAAGCTTTGCGCATATTTTCAACACATGCTGGAATTCCTGCCTCAAAAACTGCTTTGCAATGCATTTTCTCGCAATATTTTCCTGCATCTCTTACAGAAATCAAAGAGGAACATGATGTTTTCTTCTGAGTGTTGCGTTTATGAACCTGAAGTCATATGAAGCCAATTAAAGCATGAGTTTTAAAAACTACTGCTACTATATACTACATACTTTGCTCATCTTCATTTAAAGATCAACTCAATAATATTAAGACTGTATCAGGAAAAGTCACACATAGGAATTCCAAGCAAAAACAATGGCAGAAAAATAAAAGCCATGCAACAAAGTAACGACCTCAAGAACATGTTTTATGTTTTCCTGTTTTTCATTCCAGGAAACAGAGAATGGGAGGATGGTCCGACTCCCCCTTGTGCTTTGCGTAATATTGGCTTCCTTTGTTCCAAATGAAAGCCTTTAAAAACAGCACACATGCTCGTTCTGTGTCAGTTAAAGCGACATCATGGTGTCAAAGGTGCTCGTGGGTGCTGCTGTTTTTGTTGTCGCCCTCATTTCAGAGAGTACGTTTGTGCTGCTTTACCTGTGTTTTTTGGTGCAACATTTCAGATATTATTTTTCTGCTATTAATATTTTGCGCATCTGTAAAAGAAAAATATGCTTCTTCACCTCAGGTGCGGGCATAATCGGTGGCAGGGAGGCAGCGCCGCATTCTCGGCCCTACATGGCTTCCATCCAGGTGCCAGAAGGGGAGAATCTGAAACATGAATGCGGAGGCTTTGTGGTAGCAGATCAGTGGGTGATGACTGCAGTGCACTGTCTACCTAACGGGTAAGGCAACATTTTTTACAGTGTAACAAATGTATGGAAACAAGTGCAAGATCAGAATCATATTAGCATGATATTTTCCATTTAGAGCTGGTGCTGTTTGGATTGTGTTTGTTTGTATTTGCTTGGGCAATAATCTCTCATGTGTTTGTTCAAGTTTCATGTTTAAATTTACTCAATGGCTCTACAAAAGCATTTAGAGTTTGCTTTCATGTAGTAGATAATTATTTTTCTTGATGATTATTCAATAATATAACACTATTGTGCTCTTTTTTAAGACCAGATGGAAGGAAGGTGGTGCTCGGTGTCCATTCTCTGAGTGAACCTGAAGAGACAAAGCAAATCTTTGACATTTTGGAACTTCACAATCACCAAGATTTTGACCAAAGTAATTATAACAATGACATTGCTTTAATTAAGGTAAGTGCATATGCTATGCCCTTATACTATCTGAATACTCAGAAACAAGAGTCTATAATAGTAAACCAAAACAGTGATATAGTTGGAATCATTATCTGTGGGGGCTTTTGCAGCTGGATCGTCCATTTAACATTTCCGAAGCGGTTAAAGCGGTGGAATTTCTGCGTGCTGGAGGCACAAACCCCGACACCGGTAACGAGGTCGAAACAGCTGGCTGGGGATCGGTTGACAACCTGGGGGCCAGACCAGATAAACTCAAAGAGGTGACTGTCGAGGTGATTAGCCCAGCTCGGTGCGGACGCAGCGACTACTTTGGTAGAAAGTTCACCACTAACATGATATGTGCACATAAAGTATGCACAAACCCCTGTGACCAACCACATAGGAATGAGGACAGTTGTGATGTAAGTTTTACTTCCTTTTATTCTACTAATCATAAACGGTGAAACGTGAAAACAGTTGTTAGGCAGCTGGCTTCGATTGCATTACTGATCCTAAACTTGTGCTTTTTTTTCCTGCTTCTTTGTTGTGGTCATTCAGGGGGACTCTGGAGGTCCTCTGCTCTATAATGGCGTTGTGGTGGGCATCACCTCAAATGGCGGAAAAAAGTGCGGCCAAACAAAAAAGCCTGGGATTTATACTATCATCTCTCACTACACTCAGTGGATTGACAACATCATGAATCCACAGCCAGCCGCAGCAGAAGACCAGAGCGCATAAATGAAGCAAGCAAGTTTTTAGCTACAGCTGACTATGCATCTGTCACAGTGTTTTTTATATATACATATATGATTAACGCATGTCTGTAGGAGCAGTTCATCAATGTGTGGCAAATGACAAAAACATATGTAAATGTCTTTATTTTTTTCCTACTGCTCCTGATTGCTCCCTCTATGGGCGTCGCCATAGAGAATTGTCTGCCTCCATTTTACCCTCTCTAGCATCATAATAACAATCACATAATTTAGCACTTTGCTGTATTATGGAATTAATAAAAACATAGTACATGTCTCGTGTTATACCTGTACCTTGCAGAGATAGATAGATAGATAGATAGATAGATAGATAGATAGATAGATAGAT